GTATCATGCCACCTTGGCAAACGCAAAACAATCATGATTCACTCGCTAGGTATCGGAGCCCATTTCAAGAAATTTATGTTTGACACCGCAACCGATGCAAGTTGTTGTAAGAATTTAACAGATAGATTGGATGATGAAAGCCCGTGATCTTATGTTGAAAATAGGAGCATCGGGATGATTGCAAGAGGAGGAAGATCCAAACTCATCATGGCCGGTACCCTCCAGAAGACGAATAAAGAGAAGAGGAAAGCTGATGAGAGGAGGGAGGAAGCAGTACATGATTTGGAAGACACACTTAAACTTGCCTCGTTAGAGTACGTTTTTTACTGGTTTACAAATTTTGATAAAATGTATATCTAATTAAATTTAGTGAAGAATTTCAATGGGTTATTAAACTTTCTTTTAACTTCATATTTAACACAATGTTCTATTAATTCATATAAATTGTATAAATTTCATTTTATCTAGTGTTTCTGATATCTGCCAGTACAGAATTGGGCTAAGACGCGCAGAGCATTTGATTCAGATGCGTCCGGTCAGTGGTTCCGTTGTGGAGGGTCGTGGCTCCATGTCACTGCAGTGCCCGCTGGACCCCGAGGAGTCCCTCCTTCTTTCTTCAGGGTACGTCTTGGTGGCTTCAGTCCTGCCTGCTCAAACGACTCAGTACTTTGCCGCCATTCACATCCTTCTTCAGGTTTACGTCTGCCAGGCTTCATCCTACTGCTCAAAGCGGCACCAGTTACTGCCGCCATCGACATCCTTCTGCTCCTTCCTGTCTGCTACCTCCGGTTTCTGGGAACCAAGTTAACAGGACTCCACCAGTGCACAGTCAACCTACTGTGGCAGGTAATCATAACAGTGTCATTACTGTCATTTCAATATATATTAATTATCTGGCATTGTATAGCATTTGTACTTCTTTTGCCAGGGCTTCATTCCAGATGCCACGTATCTAGGCCTCAGGTTTCGGCTTAGCGGAAGTACTAGTACTTATTCATTTTTCCAAAGGCCATATTCTTGTTCAGATTGTGATGCTTTCGTTTAATTATATTTCACTTCTTTGTTTTTTTTCTCAAGCATATATCCATTTCTTCTCGAGGCATGTTGGAGGCAAATTTTGCAGGATATCAAGCCCCTACAGCTCTTGCATAAAGCAGGATACCACATGGGATGCCGTTATACCACAAGAGGCAGGAGGGACTTTTATTGGGAGGGGAGTTTTTCACGTTACTCTTTTGGATTTAAGTTATATTCATCATTCAATGGGTTTAACAATTCATTAAGGATACCTCCTTAGTATTGAAACGCATATATTTCATTTTTTGCCGAGAAAACATTCATATGGGGGACAAGGCCATTTCCTTAGTATTGAAACGCTATATTTCATTTTTTGCAGAAACATTTCATATGGGACGAGGCCATTACGGCTATGCTGAAAGTGGCCTGGGAGAAGATATACGCTGATCGATATGCTGACTTCACCTATAGGATGAGAAGAAGCAGTAAGAAGCAGTAGTGCGTGTCTTAGGAGATATGGGAGATCTGGCAAAAGGCTTGGGAGGATCCTGCATTCAAGAGAAAGCGGGAGATATTTGCATAAAACAGGCACAGTGAGACTAGCAGTGATGGAGCAGGACCTTCTCGACACACAGGCAGATCAATATGTGCTATAGAGACAGCTCGATTATTAGTAATTGAACTAGTCCCTTTATATGAAACTGATGTTTAATGAAAGGACACTATATATATTAATATATCATGCAACAAAATTCATTACAGGCTAAACAATTAGGTCATGAGCGAAACCCGATTGAGGTGTTTACATACACTCACACGAAGGACCACGATCTTAATACGTTTGTCGACAGACATGCGGTGAGCGTCAATGTAAGTAACAATGATAAAATTGAATAATATTTACTTTACCTCTACTCCGTTACGAAGATGTACAAAGTTTCAATATAATAAACTTGCCAATTGGCATTGATTAATTAATTTTTTATTTTCAGGAGAACTAATACTACAGCTAGGGACCGTCTTGTTTTCTTCTCATACTGATGAAGTCTGAAGCTAAGTCAAGAAATTGACGAGGTAGCACTTTATCTCGAGGGCTGTAAGGGTGAGAAGAAGAGGAAGGTAACAGCATCCGGTCTCAGGCATCACAGTTTTTTTACTACGGCTCCAGCAGCTTCACGCTTCTATCAGCCAGCCGCAGGACCAACAGCCCGAGCACAACTGACGAGCATTATACTGAATTACGGGCTCGTGTTGAATGATCAGCAGAGAACAATTGGCAGAGCTTAGAGCGCATGTGTGGCGGCTATCGCGTGAGACCCGGTCTGGTAACTTCTTTTCCTCTGATGCCTGCGCCTGCTATCAGACCAGAAATGTTTCGACGTCTCAGCAGCCAGCCACTACCGCTCTTATCCGATGCTACAGACGATAACCGTTGGTCACCCCTCCTGGCACTACAGCCAACATCCAGGCAGGTTACTCCTCCCGGTGATTCTGATATCGGAATCGTGCAGATAGACCTTGGTCACCCCTCCTGGCACTACAGCACATCCAGCAGGTACTCCTCCCGGTGATCTGATATCGGATCGTGCAGATGAGCAGCAGCGTAGATTTGATTTTGGACCTTTTTAATTTTTCATTTGTATTTTGATATTTTGTCTAGTACAATAAAAATTACATTTTTATATTGTTCTTGAATTGCGTGTATGATATATATGTATATCTGTCAATTTTCACATGTGCGAAAAAATTATTGTTTCATAATAATATTTAATTTTTTTATTTTTTTTTTTCAATTTTGGGACCGATTTGCTACCAAAAGTTAAAATTTTAAATTAACCATTTTGCGACCGAATTTTAAAATTGCAATAGATTTTTTCTGCGACTAATTTGTGACAGACTTTCCAAATGAAACACGACCAAAATTTGCGACCGACTATTCAATTTTGCGACCGACGAAAACATCGGTTGCAATAAGATTTGCGACAAGGAATTTTGCGACCGATATTCATCGGTCTCAGATCGGTCGCTAATCTAAATTAGCGACCGATTGGTCGGTCGCAAAATACCGTTTTTTTTGTAGTGAGAGGGAGTATTATTTTTTATTTGTTTGGCTTTCAGGGAGTAATGTTTATATATTTTAAATTAGGAAATAATTGCTATTTTAAAGTTTTAAGATAAGATAAATTAAAGATTATTTTGATAATATCCAAATAGCTAAGAGTTTGGTTGAAAATTTTTATTTTAGTTTAATTAATTTATATTGGACTTTTAACACAGAGAGCATTGCCTTTTAGTAGGTCATTTTTATGCATGGGGGACAATTGCTTAATCATTTAAAGAGTTATGAGTTTGAGTTTAATTAAATTTGTTTTAAATGTTAAATGCATATGTTAAAAGCAAAGGTAAGAGAAAATAAGAAAGAGCTAACATAAAGAGAGTAAAAGGAGTAACATTAAGGCTATGTTCGGCAACAACGCTTAAGGGAGATTTAAAGTTTTGACTGTGTCAAAACACTGGTTTTGTAAATTATATCGTTCGGTAAAGTAGTGTATAAAATAATTGTTAGTGGATAAGATAGCGTTTCTTAAAATGTTAATCCATCTAATGTTTAGCATTTCCATTTTTAATTAAAATTTTTTCTGACAGTTATATCCTTAATTAACTTATATTATCCTTAATTAATTTATATTAAAATTAGTTTAAAATCTTTTGCTATGGTACTGCAAATCTGCAATTAAGTTAAAAATTACATTATTTTACACAAAAATTTAAATAAAATAATTTAATAATTAATTAATAGAGGAATATATGAGGAAATTGTTTTATCATTTTAGAAATGATAATGATTTCAATTTATATAATTGGACTATACAGTATAAATTGGCATACTTCTTTTTTATAATGAGTTCATTATTATAGTCATAAATTAAAAGTCTAACTCAATATTATTTAAATATCTCTTTTTTTTATTTTAAATTTAACAGCTAATTAAATAATTATTTTTACTGAATGCTTTTACTTTAAATAGTTATATAAACAGCTAATAGCTAATATCTAATAGCTCGTAAAACCATTAAGAGCTACTAAAAAAGCTAGTATCGCCAAACAGACCTAAGAGTTATAATGTCATGATAATCACTAGCTCACTTAGAAAGAATAAACTTAAAAACAGAGAAGAGAATAAACAACCAATTGATGAATCAATAGAAACTCAGTTACAACTCGACGATTAGAATCCTTAAACGAGGTCTGTGGACTTCCACGGGCCTTTATCCCTATTTTTAATTCTTGCATTTGGAATCATGGTAGGAAATAACTAATTTCAAATTTCAATCATTATATTTATTTTTTTTCAAATATTTTTATTTTCTCCTTTAGAATACAAGACTTTATCAATACAATCATTTTAAATATCGAAACATTTATTTTTTACAAACATATATACGAGCTTTTATTTTCTTTATATTATCTACTTCAATTTTCAAGTAGTCATGGAAGCTTAAATCCAAACTCTTTCAAATTTTTGATTAGAAGTCAAGTGAGTTTATTCAATTAAATTAATCTTCTAATTATTTAGAGAAGGTATGCTATTGAATTTAATAATCCATGATTCTATCTCACTCATATCAAATGATTTTAAAACTCGCCTTCAATTTCCTTTTCTTTATAAAAAATATTTCAAAATTTTTTTTCACTTCTACTTTATTTTGTATTGATATAAATTTGATCAGAGCCAATAATTGAAACAAAAGATTTATACAGTGAATCACAACTAATTTGAAACTAAGAGGGTTGCTGTTGTAGGGTGGTTATATCTTACTCTTAAGGAATTAGCATTAATTAAATTAAAATTAATTGATTTTTTTTAAATTTAATAATGTAGTAATAAATGGTAGTCTCTTTGCTTATACATAATTACATATGAGACACATCAGATTAGATAAAACGAATTTATAATCTTATAAAAAATAACAAAAAAGGAGCGGTGATTATCGAGCAAAGCGAAACGGAGAGAGCGCTCTCTCTCTATTTCTTCACCATCGCTGTTTCTTTCTCTTTCTCTTTCTCTTTTTCTTTCTCACTTTCTGTCTAATTATTTTCTCTCTCTCTCTCTCTAGAAATTCGAAGAGAGTGAAATCTAGGGTTTCATTTCTTTTTCTTCGCTAGATATAATCTAGGGTTAGGTTATACAATAAAAGGGGAAAAAATCGAAGGGATCTCGATCTCTGATTAAACCAAGAAGAAGATGAGCTTGGATTCGGTCCCTTCGAACACACATGGAAACCTTGATGAGCAGATTAATCAACTCATGCAGTGCAAGCCCTTATCTGAGCAAGAGGTACTTATTTAAATCTCTTCAATTTTCCTTATTTCATGGGTTCTCTTCGCTTTTTGTTTTCCCTTTTTTTCTTTTTTGTGGTTGGTTTCATGGAAATTGTTTGGATCCAGGTTGGTTTATTTGGGTTGCGTTTGGGAATTTGCTCATTTCCTGGTTTTTTGGCCTCTTGCGTAGAGTGATCTGTAATATTTGTTGATTGAGGTCAATTTAGAGGGATCTGAATGTGTTAATCTGAGGGGATCAGGGAGTTCGGAGCAGATTTAGCTGTAAAAGAATTAGATCCGTTGGTGGGTTTCGTTTTGATAGCTTGAAACTGTAGTTTAAAAGGGGTAATTGGCACGAGGCTAATGTTTTTTATTATTAGATTGGACTCCTTAAGGTTTTGTAACCAAGCTTGCTTATCAATGTCTTGCTTTAACTTCAAATTGTGTGCCTTTTTTGTACAATTATTTATGTAAGTTGCTGGAGATTGATTTTTATGTGTATTAATGTGGAAAAATCTTCTTGGGTTTCGAGATATTTACTAAAATGCCAAAATCTGGGACATTAATTGAGTTAAGGTATGCGTCTGGTTCAAGAAGTATCTTTTCCTCTAGCAGTTCCTTCCTTTGGTAGTGATTTTCCACCTTTAATTGCTTATCTTTAGCAGAAAATTATCTACAAGCTTTGCAGTATTGCCCTTTTCAGATTCTTTAATACTAAAATAATTTTCTGGTATAATTTTATTTGATGTCTGCCTTCAACTGACTGCTGTGGTGGATTGATTTTTATGTGGATTAATATGGACAAATCTTCTTGGGTTTCGAGATATTTACTAAAATGCCAAAATCTGGGACATTAATTGAGTTAAGGTATGCGACTGGTTCAAGAAGTATCTTTTCCTCTAGCAGTTCCTTCCTTTGGTAGTGATTTTCTACCTTTAATTGCTTATCTTTAGCAGAAAATTATCTACAAGCTTTGCAGTATTGCCCTTTTCAGATTCTTTAAGACTAAAATAATTTTCTGGTATAATTTTATTTGATGTCTGCCTTCAACTGACTGCTGTGGTGGAGCGATTGCTGCGCTGCCTTATCTTTTTGATTAGAAGATCTGTAGGAATGACTCTTCATAGCATATTTATATTGTCACTTTCTCTTTATATCACCCCCTGATGAGTATGGGTAGAAACTGATTGTCCACAGATGATGTGGGATAGGCTGTACAACGACCCAGTAGATCTGATGAATTTAATGAATCTAAACTTATCCTGCTCAAGGAGGGTGGCCGGCATCAACATGTTGGAGAAAATGAAAAACTGAATTTTGGTTATGGCTTTGGTTTTTTTATATGAGGATTTCACACCTTAAGCAAACTGACAACATTTTGATTTTCATCGAAATGGCTGTTTCCTGATTCCTTTACATATAAATTCACATGAAAAAGGTGTCCAGAATGAGTCTTCTAATCTCTCTCGCATGTCTCACTCTCGCTTCTTCAAATTGAAACTCATTTATTCTTCGGTGACATTCCTTCCTCTTTTTGTTTCTTACTCTCTTTCCTAAATTCAGTCTCCTTCTGGAATCAAATTTTAATCAGTCCCTTTAAGATCAAAAGCAGTGAAAACACGGTGATCTTAATCAGTGGAGAATTTACTAGTATTTAGGAGCTTAATGTATGATATGAGTTTAATGGATCTGAAAAATGGTAAGCAACCTCCATTGGCTTTTCACTGATTAATATAGAAACTTATTATTATGCATATCTGGATTTGGAGAAAGCTAAGGTTGTTAGGAGTTCTATTCGGATTTTACGATTCACGATTCAAATCCTACAATTTGATTCAATTTGATTCAATTTTCATGCTAGACGAGTCGAATTTTATGGGTGAATCGGTACTCATCGTGAATCTAACGATTCATGCGATTTGAATTATACAATTTGAGTCGATTCTCACGATTCTCTTACCTAACAAAACAAGTGGAAAAAGTCAATATAGAGAAAAAAGAGCAAGAGAATATAGTTATATTAGAACATGAAGATCATGAAGAGCTTGAATTTGGAAATGATAATGAATAAAATATGGATTTGGATAGGAAATTTTAATGGCTTGATGGTTTTACTTTGTTGTTATTTTCAAATTTTAATTTCATAGTCTGATATTTTGAACTTGACAACTACAAAAGTCACTAAGTTCTCTTTCATTTTGTGTTTAGTAAATGATTTGGAATTGAAATTTATTTAAATACATTATTGTTAGTTAAATTTGTATCTTTTGATAAAATCAATGGAACTGTATCCATAAATATATATGTATTTATTTTTAATTAATTTTGAAAAGTTATAATGAATTTTACAATTTGATTCTTGATTATTAAATTTCGATCCTCGATTCGATTTGAGATTTGACAGCTATGGTTAAGAATTGTTGCTAACTTTGAAAAACTCTTGAGGAACCTAGACAGAACAGCAGAGATATAATGGTTGGTCCTTTTTGTCTTTTTTTTTTTTTTTTTATTTTCTTTGAAAAACTCTGAGGAACCTAAGACAGAACAGCAGAGATATAATGGTTGGTCCTTTTTTTGTCTTTTTTTTTTTTTTTATTTTCTTTTTTTTTTTTTTTTTTTATTTTCTTTATTATTTTTGTATTTTTCTTAGGTGACTTGGTAGAGGGCGGTGAAGTGTGAACCATTTCCCTGTTGTTTGCTATATGTTGGACAGTCAACTTAGTTCTATGACTTACTTTTGATTTCCGTATCTTATGTTATTCATATGGTCAATTTTGTTTGAAAAAAATGTTTAAGAGTTGAAATCTGGTTAGAAATGGTTGTCTTCAAGCTTAAATGCTCTTCCAAAACCTCTTCGGTTTCAATTTCCCCTGAACTTGAGGTGGTATCAGACTAACTAACCTAACATGTCACTGCAACCTTCATGCAACTCAACATCACCTTGAATGTAATGAAAACTGACATGTTGCAGGTACGAATGACCTGGTGCACATGCACCCCTACTGGGTGGGGGCATGGTATTCTATTATCGTATGAACTAGCAGCATGCTTCCTATCATACAGCACTAAGCCTTGACTCCAAACTAGTTGGGGTTGGCTATATGTATCCTTTATTTCCTTCCCGCTCTGTATGTCATTAAGTCTTCACTAGTATCAGCAGGTTGTAGATCTTTTCAGACTACTTCCCTCCATGTGATTTTAGTTCTACCTCTTCCCTATTTAGCTCTATTCACCATCAATAGCAGCATGCAGGCTATTAAATTTTCAAAAAAATTGTCTGCTAATAAGATGTTCGCTGTTCCTAAATGAGAGCTTTTATTTACAGCTTGTATTTTATCATATCAAATGTTGATACGTATGGCATTGTGTTTTTCACTTCTCCTTTTGGCTTTTATCACTTCTATTCATTTATTTATTTAAAGAAACAGTTTTCTTAATGTAGAGTAGAATATCTACTATTTTTGCTTTAAATTGGGGATAATTTTCATTGTTACTTTAATGGTTTAGGTGAGGGGATTATGTGAGAAAGCTAAGGAAATTTTGATGGAAGAAAGCAATGTTCAGGTACTCTTTTTTCTATTCGTATTTCTTTGTCGTGCTACTTTTTTCGCCTGTGAATGCAATTTTATATGTCTGTGTGGGCTCATATCTTGCTATATTCTATTTTCTCTATGAAATTTGTTGCACCATTAATGTTTGATGTTGAAATGGATGTAGTCTATACTGTATTGCTGCTATCAGGGCTTAAATTGGATAAAAGTCACTGGTCATATAATCTCTGATCCTGGTGGTTCATTTTATGTTAAATTTTATATTTGCTCTGTTATGTTGTACAAGCTGTCAGTTTATCATGATAATGCTGCTAATCTTTTAGGCATTCTGCTTTGCAGCCTGTTAAAAGCCCCGTTACAATATGTGGTGATATCCATGGTCAATTTCATGATCTGGCTGAACTTTTTCGAATTGGTGGAAAGGTAGATTTTCTGATTAAGGCAGTACCTACTGTAATATTTGCTGAGGAATTGGTTATAGATTTGATTCTGTTATTAGTGTAGACATGACCATGGTTCGGTTCCAAACCGGAAATGAACCGGAGCCAAACGGTGGTCAATGGTTCAAGGTTCCAAACCGTAAACGAAACTGGCGGTTTAAGTTGGGAATTAAAAAACAAGCGTTTCCTGTTTGAAACCGTTAAAAAAAAAAAAAAAGAAAATATCTCATTTCACACTTGATTTTTAATTGTTAAATTAATTTTATTTTCATCATTAAATGCAGTAACTTTACCATCATCTTAAAATTTATTAATATAAATATCAATTAAATGCAGTAACTTTACCATCCATCTTAAAATTTTATTTTCATCATTAAATGCAGTAACTTTACCATCATCTTAAAATTTATTAATATAAATATAACTTATAAATTATAAGTTGAAAAAGAGAAAAAAATTGCTCATTAAAATATTTTTAATTTAAAGCTTTTACCTTTTATAATATATATTTTTTACATATAAATTAAACAATATTTATTTAAGATTTATTTTTGACTCTTAAATAAATAAAAAGACATTTTTCTCCCTTATAACGGTAAAAAAAGGGCAATTTGAAGGGTATTTTTTGGAATAAAACTTTATATTGTAGTTTTTTTTAACTCTTAATGTAGTTAGAATGATGTTTTGCCCCTTCATAATGGGAAAAAAAGAGATACTTGAAGGGTATATTTTGGAATAAAAAATTCATATTATGATATTTTTTGTGAATTGTTAAATAAAATTGAAGGATATTTTTATCCTTTATAACGGTAAAAAAAGGGAAAATTTGAAGGGTATTTTTATGAATAAAAATTTATATGTTAATTATAAATACCTTAATAATCGTCCCTTTTTTTCACAATATCAATTCTTTTTCTCTAAACTCCATTGAATTTCTCCTATCATTTCTTTTATCCTAATTTAAATTTATAGAAATTAAATACTAGTAAATTTATAAGAAATTAAAAACTAGTAAAGAATTTTTTAAATTTATAGAAATTAAATACTAGTAAAGAATTTTAAATTTATGTTTTGTGTAGTTATGATTTTTTAATAAATTTTAAAACTATTAATTTACTCTTTTTAGTCTTTTTCTTTAATTTAATACTGTTATTTGTTATTAATTTCTTATTTAGCTAAAAAAAACTGAAAAGGTTGAAAAGAGATGATCTAAATTCGGTTCTAACCGGAAACGGCGGTTTTAAAACCGTCTTTAAAACAATCTAAAAGCGTTCGGTTCTGGTTCAACCTTTTTTGAAACTGAAACCGGCAGTTTTAGAATCGAAACCGGCGGTTTTGAAACCGTGGTCATACCTATATTAGTGTGCTTTTTCCTTGTCTTTTTATGAATTAGCTATTACAAGTACAACCCTCTCTTTATTTTTCTTTTTTCTTGATTTTTTTCCCCTTAATGATTACAAGTAACTCGAAACATTTTCACTGGCTTTTTAATGTCATATTTTCTTTTCCAAACAGTTCATATTTTCTCTCCATGCTATGTTTGCATTGCACCTGTTTAAGTTAATGGTCATTCTCTTAGGTTTCCTTTCTCAAGTTTTCATATTCTTCTCTTCTTTTTTTTTTTCTCCTATAACCTCATTATATTTTAAGTTGATGGTCATTCTATTATCATTTCTCTCTCTCCTTTTCAATTCTTCATGTTATTTTCTCCTTGTTTTGTTTTCTAAGTATTACATCCTCATATTTTTCAGCTAATAGTCACTTCTTACATTTCAGAAGGATAGTTTTAAAATTGTTATGCCATTTTGCAGTTTATGGCTTTCTATTTTGACTGTAACTGGACGTCCTTTGGTCTTTATATACTCTTTAATGCTTGCAGTATGAGTTTACTAATTGATGTATTCACATAATCACGTTTGTAATTATGTAGTTATTTCTTGTTATGTTTTGTTTGTGATAGTGTCCAGATACAAATTATTTGTTCATGGGAGATTACGTAGACCGAGGCTACTATTCAGTTGAAACTGTAACGGTACATATTCTATCTTTTAGTTCCAACTCTTTTTTTTTTTTTTTTTTTTTTTATTTTAGTTCCAACTCTTCTTTTTTTTTTTTTTTTTTTTTCTTTTTTTTTTTTTTTTTTTTTTCCTTCTTAAATGCAATATTTTGCTCCATTTTAGCCCTTCTTTCCTTTGATAATATTTTGTAACATACACGAATATATTCTGGAATTGTAAATAGAAATGTGTCCCTAAAATCTTTCATTTCGAATGGGGAACATAATATAATATGTAAGTGATATAATTTTTGATTGAAAAGAATTTTGGTGTCACCCTGAGATATGAGGTGATGTCTTCAACCTGCATGCATATTTATTTGCTCTCTTATTGGCTTTACTTACTTTACATGGTTAAGATTTTGTTGTTCTCTTGTCCTTGTCCTCGTCCTCATTCACATGTCAAATTAAGATTCATCCTTGAGTGTCTTGTGTTCCTGTCCTGAGCTTAGAATGTGGATGTTGCAGCTTGATTCTCTTATTTATAGCTTGGGCTCTTGAGTTACAGACGCCCACACTCGTGCTAGTATCAGTCCAAACCTACTTATTTGTGGTAGCCCTAGTTTATATGTTCTGCAAGAAAAAAAGGACCCGAAGCTTGAACTATAATCCTATCTAGAATTTACCTTTAGAGTGTACCAGTGAAGCTTATCACAGTTGGAAATAGTGGTCGTAAGCAGAATGGAGCTTCATAGTAGTGCACAAAGGTTTTAATTTGTTGCTTGTGTGCTGTGGCATAGAGATGGATGGTTAGTTTTGTTGGCCATGTATGCTGTTGATTTGGTGGAATAGTTGATTTATGCAAAAAAAAAAAAAAAAAAAAAAAAAAAAAAAAAAAAAAAAAAAAAAAAGAAGAGAAGAAGGGAAAAAAAAGATCGCGTTTGTTAATTATAGCGTTGTTAATGAATATAAAAAAAAAAAAAAAAAAAAAAAAAAAAAAGAAGAGAAAGAAGGGAAAAAAAAGATTCGCGTTTGTTATTTGGATTGTTAAATGATATAATATTTGTAATTGATAATACTATTTGTTTCAATGTTGGAGTTGATTTACATTCCATTGATTTTTCTTGGTACAAATTGTACTCGTGAAGGCCCCCCAGATTAGAAGAGAAAGCATTGGGACTAAATGATGACAGAAAGTCACCCTGCAAAATTCCTTTATTCTGTCCATTGGATTTTGGTCCTGATTTACTTCATGCTTTATCTTCTACTGCAAACTGAATTGACTGGTTAATTTATATATTCAGCTCTTGGTAGCCCTGAAGGTGCGCTATCCTCAACGAATTACTATTCTACGGGGAAATCATGAAAGTCGTCAGGTGTGCTTCAGATTGTATTTCCAACAATTCTCCTAGTTTGGCTTGAGAGAGCTTATATGGATCTGTAGTTGGAGTCCCTTCTCAGATGGGCTCTGAACTGTAACATATAATTTACTCAAATCTTATTTGAACTTTGACTTTACATGCATTTTTAACTGTCTAGTCTCCACAAAAATACTGTTCCAATGATGGATTTCTTTTTATTGTTTCAGATTACTCAGGTTTATGGCTTTTATGATGAGTGTCTACGGAAGTGAGTTCCTTTGAAACCTTGATGATGTGATAACTTCTATTTAGCTTGAGATATTTCATGATAACTGGGTTTTTGTGATTGCCTTGATGTTCTGCCTGTTATTTTGCATAAACATAATAATTCCTTTATGAGAATTGTGGTTGATGTATTGCTTATGTAGTGGTGAAAGTTAATGAACTAAAATAGAAATGTGGCAATGAAAGGGAAATTTGTAATAGATAAGTAAAAAGGTGAAAGGAAATTATGAAAATTGACTAATTACATATACAGGGAAAGGTGATAAATACTCTAATTTCATTTCAGTTATTTTTACCATTTGTATCAGTATGATATTTCTTTGTCATGTATTCATTCTGTTGGATTGTTTCCTCTTAATTTCCTCATCTATTCATATGTTGTAACTGAAAATTGCCATGGCCAAATTGTCCTCCGGGTCTCAAAGTAAGCCACATAACATTATCAAATTATACTTTACCACTTGAGATTCTTGAAATGCTAAGTTTTTAACTCTAAGCAGTTGCATTTTATTACCAGCCCCTTTTAATAAAAGGCTTTCTTAAATAGGCTCTGTGTTTAAAGAATGACATGTTTGATAAATGTTGTGTATTTATGCATGGACTTTGTTTAATGTTGTAAATGCACGTTATTAAATGAGTGTATTTCGGTATAATCTTAGATCATCGTTAAGGAAGTAACCTTGTGGTGCAATTTAAGACTATTCTAATTTATGATATTAATGAACAGCTTTATTCATATTTTATTATTCACACAACACAAGCATGCATAATAATAATTTTTTTTTTTTTTTTCGCAGGTATGGCAATGCCAATGTTTGGAAGATCTTTACAGATTTGTTTGACTATTTTCCACTGACAGCCTTGGTTAGTATACTGGAGGCAAAATAACTATTAAATTTTAAAGTTATTTTACCTATAATGATTTAATGTTTTTTAAGTTACTATATATTCTGTTTCTGTGGAGATCCTATGTTTATGCCATATGAATTCTTTATTTTATTTTAAAGGTTGAATCAGAGATATTTTGTCTCCATGGTGGACTATCCCCCTCCATTGAAACTCTTGATAACATACGGAATTTTGATCGTGTTCAAGAAGTTCCCCATGAGGGTCCCATGTGTGACCTTTTGTGGTCTGATCCTGATGATCGTTGTGGTTGGGGTATCTCACCGAGGGGTGCTGGATATACCTTTGGCCAAGTAATTAAATTCTTTTCTTTCCAAAGCTTTTATCAGTTTATCTGAGATCAAGGATTTTCAGAATGTGCTAATATTTATGTTGTTCTAGGACATATCTGAGCAATTTAACCACACAAACAATTTAAAGCTCATTGCTAGAGCCCATCAACTGGTTATGGAAGGATACAACTGGGGTCATGTAACTACTTTCATTTGGCACTTCTGCTTTTTCTGCTTTTTCTGCCTTTTCTGCTTGAGCTTTTGAAATTCACTTGATTGATTATTCATGTTTTGACAGGAACAAAAGGTTGTTACCATATTTAGCGCACCGAATTACTGTTATCGGTGTGGAAACATGGCATCCATATTGGAAGTTGATGATTGCAAGGGTCACACATTCATTCAGGTTGGTCTTTCTGATATTTTGGCATATGTTGTTGCTCAGTTTTGATGTAAAACCACATATTGAAACTTTTTTAACCTATGACCAGTTTGAGCCGGCTCCAAGGAGGGGAGAGCCAGATGTTACCCGAAGAACACCTGATTACTTCCTATAATGCAAGTTGGGATAAGTAATTGAATACCCCTGGCTAGTGCCTCCTAGCTGGTTTAATTATTGAGGGCTTTTTCAAATTTAAGATTATAATTGGGCTATGGTGATTGAAAAGCATGTACAATGGGCAGTTGAGGCTTCCTAGGCTAGAGGATGGTTTAGTTTCCACAAAGAGGAAGCAATGAAGCTGGCGATGCAATTGCTGCATATGTACCATTTCCAGCAAAACAATGTGGCATCTTTCATCTCATTTCTTTGATTTTCATTTTTGTTCCATTTTCTTTTTTTCTTTTTTCTGTAGAAGGGATGGTTGTTTGGGGTATGGGGATATGTAGAGGGACAATGAGTTGACCTGTAATGGTGCTTCTATTTTTATTTTTATTTTTCACTCCTGTAGTTCTAATCAAGTGTTCTCCAATATGAACTTCCATTGTTTTCTATGTAGTTTGACCCTTAACATTCTATGCTATGCTATTTTATGTATATTTATTTGCAGGTACAACCAACTATTTTGCTAATCTTTTCTGTGCACAACATGATTGCTACTCTTTTATGTAAACAGGGATTGGAGATTGATTGTGGAGTTGGTAAATAGGAAATCTAGCAAGTTCTGTGATGCGCATAGAAGGCCAAAAGGTTAATTAGGTTTGTTGTTCACAGAGTGCTAGAATGGAAAATTTCTTCTAATTTAGAAATTTTAGATTTAAATTCTTTCCAACAAGGGCGTTTGTGAGCATTATTTAGAAGCCCTCTTGCTATCTCATTGTGTTGCTTATTTAAGGTTGGTCATAAATATAAGCCTGCTTGTTCTTTAATTGCTAAATCAAGGCTCTCTTTCAAGCTTGTTAAAGCTATGTAATGTACACTCAGGGCTTAGATTCTTTTTTTTTTTTTTTTTTTTTGTTGGCCTTAATTTAAGGTTGGTCCCATAAATATAAGCTGCTTGTTACTTTAAATTGCCTAAATCAAGGCTTCTCCTTTCGAAGCTTGTTAAAAGCTATGTATATGTTACAACTCAGGGCTTAGATTCTTTTTTTTTTTTTTTTTTTCTCTCCTTTTTTTTTTTTTTTTTTTTCTTCCTCCTAAATTAACAATTCGGTAATTGGGTCTGTGAGTCGCAAATTCATGATATTTTTTTATCATCATTATTATTATTATCATTTTTTTTTTGCACATGATATTTTTTTTTGCACATTCTCATTTTTTATAAGAAAAATAATGAAATTTGGCAATTAAAGGGATGGAAAAAATTTTCGAACATAAATAAATGGAAGACATTGAAACATAATGATTATTTTTCTTGGTTTATTTTAATTTTTAGAGTAGAAAATTATTAATGAATTATGTAATTACTTCTAGAAGAAATCAAATAGCATTAATTTGTGTTGATTAATTAGGAAAAATGGAGAATTTCTAATACCCATTTGATTGCTAAGGGACTATGCAATTTACATGAATATGTCCAAAATGCAACAACAATCAAAATAACAAACATTCAATTGACGTCTTGATTGGAGCGGTAAACGAATTCAAATTCATAAGGGTGAGAATACAAATTTGATTCCAAAAAATACACTTTGCTGAGAGAAGTGGCAGAACCACACATATAATCGAGAGAGTGCATATGCACCACCTGACTTGAAATTTTTTTTTTAAGTGCACCCTTAATTGTTATATTTATAATTTGTGAGCCCCCTTAAATTACTTTGAATGCCTTTTTAAATATATAAAAAATTAAGTTGATGTTCAAGAGAAAAGAGTTAGTTAAAACCGAAAGGCTTATTGTTTGTCTATTAATATTCACTTATGAAGTTAGTGTTAATTTTACTTGTCGCCGCATCGATCGTAAGATAAAATATTTTTTTATAATGAAGATTGTGAAAAATCGATTGTTTAATCGAATATAAAATATCTGGATGAATGATAGATGTATTTAATAGTATTGACAATGAGCTAATTATTTAGCTGTTTCAAGATATAAACTCACCTAGAGGACGATTGAGATTTTAAAAAAAAATTCATATAATTGTTTTTTATTATGAATGGAAGTGGTAGCTCTTTATTATATAGTTCAATTTATTTTTAAATTTTTTATACTAAAAAATAAATATTACACGTTAAGTGTCTTTCTCGACCCTAGGGTCTTAGCTCCTCCACTGATTAAAAGGAATAAAGACCTTTACACTTTACCGTTCGAGAGAGATTATACGTTTGTTCAGAGTACCATTGAGGAAAATATTGTCATTGAAGGATCAAAGTCGGTGATGTTTGAGCTCTAGTGTATGCTAAGGGCAAAGTGAGAAGCTTTTTGGTCCTTCCAACGTAAGCTCTTTTTGTCAAATTGTCATAATCGTTATCCTCAATTGCATCTAATATTTCTCTGTACAGCATCAAGCATGACCATACCTGCACATCACAATTCAATACTCAGCTTCTACACACTAACACATTCAATTTTTTTATTTTTTTGAAAAATCACTAAAATATTTAATTTATCTATACATTCCTCATTTTTATTATTGTTATTTTTGGTCATCATATGCTTGGCTTTGTGGTAAGTTGTATTCTTGTCAGGACGATCGTTTAGTCAGTTTGATTAATTAGTGTAAACTAAATGAATTATAATTTTTATAAGGAAAATAAAATCATTATAGAACTAAATTGAACCAACTCGATTTGATTCTGTTTAATTTTTCAAATTTGACTAATTTTTTAGTTACATCGGTTTGATTTTAAGACTAGTAAATTTTTCATTTCTATATAATAAAAATGAAAGATGAAAAATAATTTTTTAAAAATATTATACGCATATTATTTTTTGTCCTTAATTAAAAGTATACATAATGCTTCAAATATTCTAAACTTTTAGTTCTTATCCGTACATTATTATAATTTCTATATAAATATTCATGTAGGGTATATGAACAAATTAATTTTTTTTCATATTGTCTTCAAAACTTCTTTTTTTTTTTTTTTTTTTTTTTTTTTTTTTTTTTTCAATGTTAGGGTATATGAAACAAATTAATTTTTTTTCATAATTGTTCCTGTCAAAACTTCTTTTTTTTTTTTTTTTTTTTTTTTTTTTTTTTTTTTTTTTTTTTTTTTTTTTTTTTTTTTTAATTCCTCTATTTTTTAAAGTCTTTATAATTAATAAACCAAGCAAATGAAATTCATTATATATACCGGCCAACGGCTAGCCTTGTCTAGCTGCGAGGCTCCCTCCTCAGCAAGATTGAAGTAATATCTTGCTCTTGCAATCTGCTGCTTCATGAACTCTCTCCACCCATCACTCACTTTTCTCGCAAAAACATCTTTATCACATAATCCAAATTCTGCAAGTTCGTCCTGTGGAAGATAAACTCTTCCTCTCAATGCACTGTACAAACAAACACAATATATAGTTTCGATCAGTCATGGCACGGATTTTTAACGAGTGAACTATTATTTAATCTTCTTAGCACATACACTAGTTAAAACTTTATTTTCATAATTTAATTATATAATCCCTAAATTTTATTTCCGTTACCTTGCTTAATCATTCCGTTAAAAATTTACTGTTAGTCACAAAGATTAATAAATAATTTAACAAGAACCAAATCGAAGGACTATATAATTAATTTCTTAATTAGGGTCCTAACCATTGTATTTAGTAGTACAATCAGGAGATTTTCATCCTTTTGAGATATTTTTACATCTCACATAACTAGCATGTGCATTAGAAGAAATTAGTGTGCAAGTGAAGTTAAAAAAAAAAAAAAAGAAAAAGAACTTACTCCTCTCCCACGTCTCGGAGAATGTTAGTGAGCTGATTTCCAATACCCAAGAATAGAGCAGAATTATAGACAGTTTGAGGAGAAAGAGAAGATTCTGGAGCTATTCCCATTACTGGTACAGTCATTAAGCCAACAGTGCCAGCCACATAATAGCAGTATCTATACAGCTCTTCAAAATTCTCATACCGACATTTCCTTGTGTCCATTCTCATTCCTTCAATCATGTCCCTAAAAGGCTGAAATATATAATTTAAATTTGAGTTTTAAAGATAATGCTTTGTTTGGCAAGTCCATTCCTTCAATCATGTCTAGACTTATAATTTTCCTACGGTTTTTTTTTTTTAAATAATAATTGTCATACGCCGACTATTTTGTTAAATTTGACAGTTTTGACTTTTCACAAAGATTAAAAAATGATTCAATCGCTTCAATTTTATTAGGAAAAATAATGGTAATTGATTAAATTACTCTTTAATTAATATTTAATTGAGATAAAATTTAATGCAGATATCCGGAAAAGAATAAAATTGGAATAAAATGATTAATGCTACTTTTATTTTCTAAGAAGTGTTATGTAATGGGAAAAAAAAGAAAGAAGAAAACTGTTAAATTTAACAGAAACGGAGGAAGTATTTATTAGTGAGTGTGAAAATGGTGAGTTCGGAAAGAGAGAGTTTAGGGAGTTTACCTTAATGTCTAAGGGGAAGTTGAAAACAGTATGAGTAAGAGCAGCATCAAGCATGTCATAAGGGCGGCCATCAAAGATGTCTTCAAGTCTCTCTTCCCATCTATCAAGAACCGCAGAGCTCATATGGACTGCATTTGGCCCATCTACTAATTCATCTGTTCTTCTACACCACACTGCAATATTATATTTACTCCTAAGATTTCAGTCTCAATCGTAATCATGCCATTTTAACTTGATTTTATAAAAATTATAAGTACCACCAATTACATACCATAAATAGCCCATATAGCCTTTTGCCTCTCCTCCGTCATTAGCAAAGTTCCTGCATCAACACAGCACTTAACCATCAATCCTTCTCTTCTTTTTTTTGGCCAGATAAAAAATTCTTAAAAGAAAAAGGATGGTGAGGATTTGAATTCTTAATCTTTTTACACTAACCCAGACACAAACTTTGACTATATGTTTGGTGTGAATAATAAATAAACTTCATATATTCTATTGGTGAAAAAGCATTTAAGAGAAAGAAGAATCATGAGTCCTGAAACGAGATTAGTTTCTTATCTAAAAAGGTGCGAAATACTCGTATAAAAAAAATCATATATAGGAATTAAGGGATAATCTTTCATCACACTCTTTGCGGATGATTATGCATAAATTACAAAAAATAAATGATCTTCCACAAATATATATCGAAAAAAGACTAGTAGAGAAGCTCTAAGGCAAACCTAGATAGAAAGTCTTGGCATATTCAGCACAAATGTTCTTGCACCTCTCATAGGCTTCTTCAAGAAACAAAGGATGAAACTCAGGTTTTCTGCAGGCATTTTGCGTGGCTAAATACTTACTCTGAGACTGTCTCTCAACAATTTCACTTACATGAGGAATGCCTTTTGTTAGTAAAGGAGGAGAGGCAGTAATCTTCGATGATGGCTTATTAGGAGGTGATACGATCACTTGATTAGCTCTTGCCCTTGTAACTATGAATTTGGGTTGCAAAAATTTACCATTGTTTGTTTTGATGAAACAAGGCTTTGCTGCAATAGAAAAGCTTGAGCACATTGCTGCAATAGTAATGTTCTCTCTGTTTCTTTCTTTTTGGCTCCTCGAAAGAATGGGAAGAGCTCAATAGGAAGGATTAAATGGGTTAGAAAAGACTTATTGTAACGATAGACCTTCTTAGCCAATCTCTCTCTCTCTCTTTCTCTCTCTCTATATATCTCTCAAGTGAAGACTTATAAGTGCTTCTTGAAAAATCAAATTAATTTGTTAGTTATGTATTTATCTCTATAGTTTCTATCAATGGAATCTTTTAACACATGGAGATCAAGTTACTATCTTTGTTCTCTCTATTTGTTTCTTATAATGTCATGACTAAGGAATAATAATAATAATAATAATAATAATAATAATAATAATAATAATAATAATAATAATAATAATTTCAAGAATCAGCATAATTAACAACTTTTTTTTTTAATCTCGGTCTTATAGATAATAGTTTGAATCCTGTTATGATAAAATTTAAAAGAAAATTCAATCTAATCCAATCCCGTCAAGGTTGAGGAGTAATGAGATATCTACTCGTTTAAAACAAAACAAAAGAAAAGAGGTGGTTAATTTATATTTAATTGGATTTTTTAATATAATATATTAGGATTTCATTCAGAACTTCAAATCAATACATATAATACATGAAGAACACGACCCCTCTTCTAAAGATCAAATATAGAACAAAAACTATTATAACTAAAATAATTATTGTTTGTTGATCTAATAAAAAAAATCCTAATGACAATTGGAATGTGAACTTGAAAAAACTAATAGATCTTTAAAAGTGGCCGATTAGGCCAACTTCCTAAATTTTCTATAGACGGCTTAATTATCTATGAATTAATTGCTTATAACGAACACAGAATTTGAACCACAAAATTCAATGAAGGAATATACTGCGCTACCAGACTTTAAAAGACAAATATCATAATATAAAAAGAAAATATACTTTTATTATAATTTCTATAAAAAAATTTGATAATTTAAAGCTAAAAAAATTACTTGGTAAAAGTATAAAGAAAAGAATGGTTTTTAACGATGGATATACTATTGTATTATTGCAACATAGTTATAGAAATAACCGAACCACTTAAATTCCTACAAGATGTTTTTAAATGTTTGATATGTTAAAATAGCATAATTGGATACTTGTAATAAATTTTGTAATTTCAAGTGTTTTTCTTCTTATTATTTAATTAAAGACATATTCCTGTTTTTGTTATTGGAGAATGTTGGGTTATACAAAGATGCTGAACTTGTCTTATATATAGTCATGTTTTGAGATATGAAGCCAATCAATTGTTAAAAAACTGTCTTCACTTGCAACCAGAATCAGAATCTTTATCTCATAAGATGCCTCATTAGATCATTGATTCAATTTTTATGCTTTTTATCCTAAAATGGATCACTCCAAATTTCTAAATTTTGGTGTGCATTTCCAAGTGGGAATTAAATCTCATATAAAAAATGTTTCAGTTCATATCTGAGGTTTCAAAGCTGATCTCAATCAGGAAATCCAAAACTCACCATTTATCAAAATTTCTCCAAGAGATTTGCTTCTTTGTAATTCTTTGGCTTCATGAAACGTGAGATCAATGGTTTTTCAAATTTGTGAAATTTTACTTTTCATTATTTTTTTTAGAAACAAAATATATAGATTTTGAAAGGTAGTTTTAAATAGAATTAGGTTAGTGAGAAAAAAAAAATTGTAAAAAAAATTCTAACAAATTCATGAAGTACTTAACTTTCATGATTATTCAAATTTCACCAATTCAAATAACCTCTTAATTAGTTTTTGCATTTCTTCACTTGCAAATTACATATTTAGGCACCACCCTTAGGAAAAATTATAATTTTGCCATATGCGCAATTTGATTTTTTCAACAATAAATGCTTCAATCATGCATCAACGTGTAACAACTTCAAAATGTGTAGTATCGATTCCTCTATACTAATTATTATGTTTCATAACTTTATTTAAGTAATATAACTCCACAAAGAGAATTTTTTTTCTCCTATTACTTCTATTTAGGGTTTTATATTAATTTCAAAGTACAAAAATATACAATTTTACTTCAATTATGTTAGAATATATGAATTTAATTACTAATTATAGTTTATTAATAATTTGATAAAAAAAGATGATTTATCAATAATATGTGCACTTGAGAAAGAAAACACTATATCTGATGAGTCATAATAGAATGAAACATAATAAAATGAAAGATATTTATTTGTGTTGAATCCATTTTGTAATTTTTTAATTTGGACTTTGTATTTTGGATTTAGGCTCATTTGGATTGATTATGACCAAATTAATATTATTTTATGTAATTAATTAATAATTAATTACAAGGAAAGGGATAATGAAGAAGCGGATTGCTGTTGAGAAAAAAATAGCACTTCTCAAGTGATTCTTCACATACAAAAGTGGAAGACTTAGGAACATGCATCAGTGGATCCTTTTGGTAATTGCCTGCGGAGCTTATAAGAGGAGCAAAAAAACAATGTAGAAGAGTCAACAAAATTTTCCAACGAATTCAAGCAAATAATTTCAACTTGGGTTTTAAGCAATCCGGCTAATTTCAAAGCATTATCTTCATTTTATTTTCCAAGCATTGTTAATTTATTTCTTTTGTAATCACAACTTTATTTCAATACAATCTAAACTCTCTTTTATAAGTTCATGTGCTCAAATTATTTTAATTGCACAATTGATGAAGCGTATATTGTGGATCCAAATCCACAATCTAAAAGTTAAATCAAGCACACTTTTATTTTTTCAATTGGTGTACTTCATACCTAACACACCCGCAATTCACAATTCAAGCTATTAGCTGATGAATTCCTTGCTTTTTCCATAGAAAGAACCAACAAGTTGAAAAACCATTAATAAGTAAAAAACACTATTACTAAGATAAACCGATGGACAAGGGAAGTAAAAATACAAACTCCATTGACCAATCACAAAAACTAGTTAATGGATCGTGTTCATGTCATTTTCTAATTTAATTTTGCACTCATTAGTTTAGATAATATATCTTTGTATATAATCCAAGCTAGTGAATACAAAATGTATATATGAGATTGAATGAAATTGATTTTAAATTGCTTCTTGACGTAGAAGATGAATAAAGATGGACAAAATATATAGTTTGTAGTCTTCTTATAGGTATTTGCTTCCACTTTGGATGTTGACAACCGGTCAGTTTGATAGGGGCCCACTATCTTGGCTGAAATCCTTAGATATGTCTTTGTACCTCGTTTGTATGAGGATCACGGCGCACGAAGTTCTACCATCGATTAGAATGGTAGGGCTTTGAAAGTGCCACTCCGGGAGTGGGCTTAGTGGGTTTGCAGGGTGGATCGAGCTTAGAAAATTGATTTTATTGGTTTTGTCGGATGGTTCAGATTTAGAAAACTGGTTTTATCAGTTTTGCCGGACGACCCGAGCTTAGTGTGCCGGATGGATCGAGCCTTAAAGCATGCAATATGTCGGACAGACCAAGCTTGACAGTTGATAAGGTGTTGGATGGACCGGGCTTAATTGACGAAAATTTGAGTTTGAGTGATTATACCTTAGAGTTCGTGACGCGGCTGGATCGGAGCTCCATGGCGACAATCGACCAAAGAGGTCGAGTCTTCCTCCAAATGAAGCAAAGGTAGGGACAAGGAGCTTATTATAGTCTTATAATATTGCTAATTAACAGATTATAAATTAATTCTTAAATTAATTAATAATAAACTAACTAGCTAAGAGCTTTAGTTTAAGGAAAATCAAAGTGCGTGTGAAAATTGAAAGGATCGACTTCTGAGTGCCAAGTCGGGCCTTAACTCAACTAAGGAAGAAGAGCAAGGTCGGACTATATTGCTTTAGAACCGTTCACAAGGGAGAAATAAGTCGTTGATGCTTGAGAAGCGCTCAATCAAGCAATGAGAGGTGTGTAAATGAGGGGGAGAGTGCCTTTTGTAGGCTAAGGAGCTGTTGGGAAGAGGGCATGGTGGTACTGATGTCCTCAAAATCGGTACACAGAGCTCTAATTCGGTATCGATCAAGGCGAACGACATGCACAAGATCGGTATCAATTTGGGGCTCATCGACATCAGCCAAGAGATGGTCGGTGCTGACCAGGGCAAATTATTGCCCTGTCCCTGGCCTTTGATTTTAAGGTTTTTGGACTTCTGAAGGTTCGTTCAAGGCCCAAACGACGTCCGATCGAGTTAATTCTCACGCCGTTGGGACTGTAGCAAAATTTCTTAGAGCTCGATGTTGAAATCATGGTCAACAATTATGGACTATGTTATGTATAATCTTCTTTGTTTATCTACAGGAAAGAACATCAGAAGATTGTGGAATTTTTAAAAAATGTCTAAGAATCAGTTAGAATAAGGTTAGGTTAGGCCAAACTTTTCTCTATGCAATCGCATGATGAGCATCCATCCATCCATAATGCATATATATCGTGTCTAATCTACGTTGCTAGAATGCTTAATACTTGTAATTGAGTAAATAGGAATGGGATGACATAAAGCCACGTAAAAAATGAATTTTAATATTGTATATAATATGGTAATTATGATTGTTGTGGATTCTATAGGATGGTTGGTGTTGATTACCTTTGGTATTCTTGTGAGTTAGTTCATAATGTTTAGCCTTAGCTATGATGATAGGACCAATTTTGCATTAAAAAGCCATGATTTCTGTAGATTAAGAGAGTCCGAGAAATGATATTGCCTAAAATTTGAGGTTAGAGTACCTTCTACTAATTAATTCCTATCTTATTATCTGATTACATGATTATCCATCTAAATTCTACAAGTATAAGTGTTTTTAGAGAGTGAGGACATCTTGTTTTCCGTTTACTGAATTTTTCTCCATTTAAACCAAGGTGTTTAATCTGTATTTTTTGTGATTTTAGCCAAAAATCATTTTATTTTTCTTACTAAAATTTTTTTTCTGATTTGGTATTTTTGAATCCTTTAATTGTATATAGGCAAAGTAGGATGTTGAGTAAATTTGCTTTTGGAATTTAGCAATTCAATGCATTATTTTCAATAATAAAGGTATCAATCTAAAAAGCTGCAATTTTTTTTTTCTCATAATGTGAT